GTGACATTGCGATCCCTAAAACAGATGGAAATAAACAACCATATGTTATGTCAATGGAGGTCTCCCTCTTGAAGCTGTTTGACATGTTTTTCCATTTTTTGGTATATGAAACCTAGGGTCAATTAACCTACAGGGACAGCAATTAGAATATAGGGGTTAGGGGGTACAGTGGTGGCGGTGGGGTAGAAGGGAGGCGATCTCAAGGAGTCCATGTAGACAACGAATGTTTGTTAACTGGTTGTGGTACCAGTTGTACATTCTACTTGACGTGATTGAAATATGGACTGATATATATATGTATAAATCCGCCCCCAAAAGAATTTCATTTGCTAAAAATATCAGACCCTCTCATTATTTGGGGGTATTGTGCTGGACTCCTGCAGAGGAGGCAATCCTTGGTTAAGGGTTATGAACAACCGTTGTGAACTAAGAAATACTTAAAGGGGAAGAAGTATTTCTTTCCAGCTCAACAAACCTTTATTGAGTGTTTATAAAGTACACTCAGAGATAAACTCTCCCTACTGCCAAGGAATATACGAATGGAAAAACATCCTAAAGCTTCTCAAGTTGTCTGTAAATATTCTATAAAGTATAGCTTTTAACAATCAGCTTGGAGCCTCTTAGGTCTTCCCCCACTTTTTTTTTTTATCTTGTGTTTCTCTCTTCCTGTTCTTGGCCCTCTCTGTTTCAAATCCACCATATCCTTTCACATCCTTACATCTAGTTCTCCATCCCTTTGCTTAGCTAGTGTATCATTCTTGGCTCTCTCAATGAAGATGTGCTTCCCATATATAATTTTATATAGAATATGTAAATATCATCCCATGTACATATGTCTTAGGCCTAGTTGGCTTATATGGCTTAATTTTCATCAGCAGATGAACTAACAAGGGGCATTGGTGGCACAGTGGGTAAAGCACTCCACTGCTCTCGATTTGAAGTCACCTGTAGGAGAAAGGTGCTTCAGTAAAACTCATAGCTTTCTCAACTTTCTGGGGACATTCTAGGTTGTCCAACAGTGTCATCTGAGCCAGACCTGACTTGTGGCTGTGGTAGATGTACCAGTGAGTGCTGACTCACCATCCTGTGACAAATTCCCCTGAAGTGGTTCCTATCACCTTGACAACTCCTGACTTGCCTGGGAGGCCCTGTTACCCAGGATTGGCTACAGCAGAGAGGATGCGACAAGATACAGCAGCTACATTGTGCACTGCATCACAAAGGGTAGCATCCAAATCCCACTACAAGCTATGAAAAGTTACTGTCAGCGGAATGAGTCATTCAGCCAGAGATGGTTGAACTTCACATGAATCTCCTGAGGTCTAACCTAGCCTCCTGAAGACAGCCAGAGGCCCCACTAGGAAGCTCCTGAAAACCATTGATGTGGCATATTTAACCATTAACTGGTTTTACTGTCTTTCCTATAGGAAAAGAATTATGAATTCGCTTTAGTGTTGCTCTTGCTAAATGGGGGAGAAGGGTGGGGATGGTACCACGATTTCTGGTGGGGTTTGCATAAATGGGGCTGCAACTGCAGAATGCAAGCTTGAGAGAACTGATTTTATTTCGCGTGGCTACGCTCCTCTTTGCGGAGAGTGGCGGAGACTGCGCAGCAACAGCTCAGGTGGTAATGCGATCTTAGAGCCAGACTGGGTGAGGGCGAGGCTGGGGCGGGTGGGGGGGGTGGCCCATGCAGTGTTTCCATGTAGCTTGGCTAAGGAAAAATGAAAACTGATTTTTAAAAGGGATAGATTTTTTTTTCCAGGCCTGGCCCTCCACCCTGTGGAAACACTGATGGGAATGGGTGGAAGGCATATGTGGTCCTGATATGTGAATGATCATCATTCTGTGAGCAGAGTTCCAGGAGACTGATCCACAAATGCTGCCAGCTTGCAGTCAACACAACCATCGACACGAGAAGATGGGTGTGTGTGTGGGCGGGGGGGCTTTAGAAATTAAGACTCCCTTTGAGGGAGCCAGGGCTCCTGTGATGCCCACAATCCTTCCTCCATCTGAAACCACTTCAGCAAGCTTTTCTCCACAAAGGAGACTGCTTTTCTTTATTCTTTTTTGAGAAAGGTGGCTGTCAAAAGGTGATTCTTACACAAGGAGAGTTCTCTGAGGGTCAAGGTTTGTGGCAAACATTTCCTTTGGTAGTAGGGGATGGACTTCTTTGGTGGACCGTGCTGTCCTCAGTAAGGGGGGTTGCAGAGTTGAGGTGATGCGTGTGAATGTGCATGTGCAAGCTGTACAATCAATAACGAAGGCCAAAGAAGATCAGTGAATTTGGATTGGGGTGTTGGTGAAGAATATTGAAAGCCCCGGGGACTGCCCGAAGAACAAGCAAATCGGTCTTGGACGAAGTATAACCAAAATGCTCCTTAGAAGCTAAGATGTGAGACTCTGTCTCGTGCACTTTGAACATGTTGTCAGGGGAGCCCAGTCCTAGGAAAAGGACATCATGCTTGTTGGGTGAGGGAAATAGAAGACCCTCATGCAGATAGATTGACACGGTGGCTCCATCCATGGGCGGAAACATAACAATATTTATGAGAATGGCCTACGACCAGGGAGTGTTTCGTTCTGTTGTGTATGTGGTCACTATGGGTCAAAGCTGACTAGATGGCACCCATCACCACCAGCAGCAGCATCCTGTGATTCTGCCATGCCAGTACTCACGCCACTGCACTCACCTCCCTGGAGGCCAAGCTTCTGAAAGGCAGAGAACATGTCTCATCCACTTTGTGCCCTGAGCTCAGCACAGAACCAGCCACCTGGTAGACACTCAATAAACATACATGAATAGTGAGACATAACACATGGTGCCTTTCAGAGAAGAAAAATGAAAATTTCCCAAAGGGCTCCTGAGATGCAATTCTGAATTTTAGTGTGTTTCCTCAGTGTGGGGGTTAAAGTTTAACTGTGCCAGAAAGGGGCTAAATTGCCTTAACTGATACTATTCTTTGCATGATGTTAACTGAAAAGTTGAAAGATGTGATTCTTATTTCTTTAAAGTCTTTTCTGTTTAAAATATGGGAATGGGTTTCTGCAGGACTGTGGCATTTCTGCTAACATTTTAGCCAGATGAAAACAACAACAACAAGAAGTTTGAGTCATCTGAATGTGTATTGCCAGTACAATTAAGGGAATGAACTGTTAAATTTAATTAGTTTTCTTATTTTGATAATGGCCAGAAAATACACAAACCACGAGTTTGAATGTATCACAGGCATACAGTTCTTTTTTTTTAGAATTTTAAGAAGCTAGATACTTTCTTCTAGAGTTGACTTGAAAGCTGGTTATCTTAGGAATGTCTTACCTGCATGGCGTAACCATGTACAAAAAAAAGAGAATACCGTCTGTGTGTGCCCTGAATAATAAGGACGTTTCAAAAGAACCCCATTCTGTGTATTTCTTTTTCCAGTGGAGTTAAAATCGTGGCTGGTGTTTCTAGGGCAGGTGGGAAGGGAGAGTCACAGTAGAGAATTAGACTTAGCTGCACACTTAAAATTTTATTACTGATTTTGTCGTCTTTCCTCAATGGAAATATTGGAGCCGTCCCTTATCCTTTCCTGTCTCAGTTGTTAGATGGAAGCGTGGTGAGCATGCCACAGTGAACGCAAATCAGACAGGATTCATTCCACTGCTCGTGCCTGTACTCTTCACCTTGGAGACCTTATTTAATTGGTAATTTAATTTGGATAGAGGCATTCTAAATGGAGTTGATTGGGATTTTTATAGACCCCACAATGTACTATGTATTATAGCACGACATAACATCACATTGGGTAATTTCAAGGCACATGGACCACTCGGATCTTTATTCCCACTAGGGTAGAATCTGTGGAGAAATGCTCATTAAATGGCACCAGATTCTTAGGTGGGATTTTACTTGGGAAACCTTGACTATTCAAATGTAGATGTACATATAATGGGCGTGGTGGTAAAAAAAAAGTAGCTAATTTTTTCGAATTGCAACCTGGGTAAGTGTGGCTGGTGAGTCACCCCTCTTCTTCAACTACCCTGTCCTGTGGGCAGCAGCTTTCCTTTTCTCACCCCCAAACACAGCTCCACTGGCTCAGAGGGCTTTCTCTCATTCACTTAGAATAGTGCCTGAGACTTAGTAAGCAAAGCATGGGTAAATGAGAACTGAGGGGGTGTACCAGGAGACTGTGCATTAGAAGGAGAGGAGAGAAATGAGACCAGGGAAGGAAAACAGAATGAGGAGCCGGATCTGGTAGTAAGGTTTGGACTCTAGTCTACAAATTTGGCCTTTGTAAACAGATGCTTTTTGCGAGAGGCAGTGGAAATCGCAAGCACAGGAAGAACTTCCTGTCATTACCACGCAGCTCTCCTTCTTGTTGCTGAGCTCTCACTTCAGTGGGGTGGGTGTGTGACAGAGAAGGTTTGGGCCTGGGGTGTCTGAGTGTTACTGTCAGGGAAAGGCTGCAGGAGTTGTCAATCGGAAGCACTGGGATACGATCGCCACCCTTAAGGACTCCACAGCTGATGAGACCAAGTGAAGGAACGATCACATGGCACCCGTGAGCTTCACCTGCAAACTGATAAGGGGTCAGAGCTTGAAACACTGTACGGTTCAGCATAAACTCAGGAGAGGTAAAACTTCCCAGAGCCTGGATTGGAGGGACAGGTCATTTTCTTTTAGGACCGTTGTACTAGACCATGAATTTTGATGGTTTATGCTTTGTTTGTGCAGCATTGTTTAAATGTGAACACGTTTAGGCTTCTCCAAAACTGAAGCTCTCCCCACCCATTAAGACCAATTCCCATGACCCACTCTAGCTGGTTTTCCTGGATGTCATCCAGGAAAATCCCAAAGCCCTGGCACCACTGTCGCCCTGGCCTGTGGCCAGGACAGCTTGCACAGTCAGTAGTCTGCATATCTGGGCGACTATCTTGGGATTCACAACCATGTGTGGGGGTGGATGCTGTTTACCACGTCAGAAACAAGAGAGAACGACGAGTCTTCTCAGGAAACCTTACAGGAACAGGTGCTTTTATTTTATCTGCTATTTATACAAATACAGTCAGCCATGGTACAATTTAAACTCAGAGACGTGACCTGGACCCAGAGCCTCTGCTCTGCATCGAGATGGGAAAGGGATGGTCGTTCTCCTCTGGGTCCCTTGCTTATGGTTCAAATGAAGGCTTCAGTTTGGTGTAAAGCTGTCAGCTGCCCTAAACCAGGGCAGCACACAAAAATAGACTCTAGGATTAAGGGGTGGGGGGAAAAGACCAAAAAATAAATAAAAAGAGGAAGACCTAGGGGCGAGCAGGGGTAAATGGACAGAACTGAGCTTGTATCTGGAAATAATGTCAGAAGACAGCAGAGCTACTCATGGTAAGTGGGGGAAGACGTCCTAGTGCCTAGTCGAGAAATAGGACAAGGAAAAGGCAGCCTTAGCCACTCAGGGCGAGGGAGGCAGGGAACGGGGTGTCTGCATGCAGGAAGCACCTGGACTGGAAAGAAGAGAAATCCAAACCAGCAAGCATTCCCGTCCTGGGCCCGGCTCGCTGAGACACAGCTCTCCGTCACTGGCCCAAATGCTTGCATGAGGGGACCTAGTCAATCACCAAGGTAACACACTCTAATCTCAGTTCTAAAACAGGGGGGTGGACTGGCTCCTGGGAGAAGAGGAACACAGGAGGGAGGGAGGGGTCAGAGAAGCCCCCAGGAGCTCTGATCGGTGGGGCGTCGGGGGAGAGAGAGAAAGCAGTTCACGGTCACGACACAACACATACTTCTGTTTGTCCCCCAAGACCAACATGGCAATGGGCCGCCACCATCTTCACTTCCAGACATGTCTAGCCCAGGCTACGATCAGATTTGACAGTGGAGACTGGGCTTACAGAGATATTTCTAAAACTAACAGTTAGGAAACGAGAGCAGGGACTGGGAGTCAGAAGAGCTTCATTCCAGTCCTGGAGCTGCTGCCTCCGAGGTGTTTGAAACTAGAGAAGTCATTTAACCTCTCTGGGCCGCAATTTCTTCACCAGAAAAAACAAACGATGGGTGCTAAACCTCCTCGTTAACCCCCTCAGTGTTCTTGAGCTGATCCCAAGTGGGAACCTGGCAGTGAAAGATTTTCCAGCAACTGGCACATGGGGCATGGAAATGAACCGGGCACCTGCGTGAGCCCCCCAGTACCGTCATCCATCTTCTTCAGGGACCCGTGGACCACTTGTTTGACACCGATTGCCAAAGGACGTTTGTTTCTAAAGGCATTCCCAGGTGCGCATCTTGGAATGAGCTCAAGAGCAATCTTGGACCATTTTCTCTTTGAGTCTTTCTGCCTTGAGGCTTAGTTTCAAGGTGGGACCAGATCCAAGCTGAGCTACACATCCTTAGGAAGTCACGATGAAAAGCCAGCCTTTATTCTAGGCAGTGTTTGGCCTGGAACAGAGGCTACATAGATGTCAGCCCTGAGCTTGATCTCATACTTTAAACAGCATTGCTCATACCTTTATCCAAAATACACTCAAGTTTAAATATGTTTAAACTGGAGGGAAAAAACAAACAACAAACAAACTTCCCCTTTGGGCCAAGTGCTTGCTACGTGGTTTAGATACCTTCTGTTATTTAAGCCTCAAGGCAACTCGAAAAGGTAGGCGTTACTGCCCCCGTTTTATAGGTAAAGAGACTGAGGCGCAGGGTGACTGTGTGACTTGTTCTAGAGGTTACATGACACCCCTAGAACATGGCAGCTCATGACTTCTGACTTCACAGACCAGCCTCATGGTGACCCGTTAGTCAGGGGAAAGGATATGCTTTGAGTAAAGGCTCATCTATCCCAGGTCATTTTGAAGTGTTCCGTTTCAAAGCATTGGACTATGACAGCGACTCAATATTAGATCACTCAGAACCATCACCACTAGCTGACTTTCATGACTCAGAAGGCACATCCAGCTCACTCTGTGCCTTCAAGCGCTCACTGACAGTCTTAGGTATCAGGACACTGTAAGTGTGTCTGCGTGTGTGTGACTGATGCCAGCTTAAAGAAGGCAGGCAGCTCAGCTGCCCCCAAGATGCCGGGCACTGAATACCTTGAAGCACGGCTAAGTCTGCAGTCCAAAGATATACAGGGAACCTATCACCGCCTTTTGGGACATAGATTCTAAACATGTATCTGTTCTCAGGCCCAGTGAGAAAGAAACCAATTCCAAAGGGTCTTGCCTTTCACCTAACTCTATCCTTCAAATCCTAAGGTCCTCACGACATCACCGTGCACACGATTTTTGGCAGTTGTAAGCTCTTTCATAAAGGAGAACTCAAGACGATGGGAGAAGATAAGGGGCATTTCAATGCATCCTCTTTGGGTGGGTCAGACTGCGTGAGGCAGTGTGGCTGTGTGGAGGGACAGAGGTCTGGGACTGGGGCAGCTGAGGTCCTTGGCTTATATACTGTCCGACTGTCCTGGCCCCTATATCCCGAGCAACATTAAACAATCACCTATGTGCAAGCAACTGTGCCAAAGGAAAGAACCCACGATTCGAATCTCCAGGCCGTGGCCCGTTTTAGAAAGGCCTTGCTCCAGCCGCTAGAGCAGGCGCGGGTGGAAGTTGTACCGGAGGCTGGAGAAGAGCCCGATGTGCTTCACCAGGTTGGGCTCTACCACGTAGGCCCGCTCCCCCTTGGCCCTCAACAGCGAGTACAGTGCCGTGTCCTTGCCAAAGCCCTGGTGGCAGTACACTTGTGACAGGTAGGTGAGGGTCCGGCGGGCTGCCGGGGCAGGGAAGAGCATGGCGGGGGTGCAGCACTCCGAGGCAGGGACCACGTTGTACAAGGAAGGGCTCAGCCGGCGCAGCTCGAGGAAGTAGTGCCGCCCCACAAGTTCCACCAGACCCATGCTGTACAGGGAGAAGAAGAGCATCACAGGCCAGCTGAAGGCCGGTCGGCTGGCGAACCGCATGTACATCCAGGTCAGGAAGGGCCCCAGCACCATGCCCACGCCGACCCACTCCAGGATGCGCATGGGCTCGGGGTTGATGTAATGCTGGAGCCTCTCGGGGTGATAGAGCTTGAGATAGAGGGCGTCCCGGAGGTGGGGCTCGGCGAAGCGAGCCCGCAGCAGGTGCTCCAGGACGGGGAAGATCTGCTCCTCCGGCACGGCGTCGTCCTCCACCATCAGGACGTAGTCCGGGTTGTAGGTCTGCAGGGAGGACTCCAGGCAATAGGCGTAGTCCTGCTTCTCCTTCTCAAAGGAGTTGGTGGAAGGGTCGTCGCCGTAATCGTCCTCGGTGCCCTCGTAGCGGTTGGCCACCGGGACGTACTTGGACAGCAGCTTGGCGTCCAGGTGGCTCACGCTGCGCTCCACGTTGCACAAGAAGAGCTGGTAGCCGGCGCACTGGGGGCCGCACTGCTGCAGCAGCCGGTGGAAGTGCGACACCACCTGCAGGACGTAGTGGAAGCCAGGCTGCCGGTCCACGGTGATGATGGTAATCACCAGCCAGGGCCGCGGCGTGGCCTGCCACACGATGGGCACGGAGCCATTGGCGGAAGGCAGCTCCTCAAAGTAGTGCAGCGCAGCCTCGCCCTCCTTCAGGCTTTGCTGCAGGAACTCCTGGCTCATTTGGTTCAGGTGCCAGTGGCGCAAATAAAAGTAAGAGTGCAGAAGCCGTTGACAGGCCAGAGGGGCCAGCAGGCCAAATGTCACCACTGTTAGGATAAAGAGCTGGACAGCGGTGCTGCCCCAGGAGAGTCGCCTCAGCCTCCGGAGGAGCATGGCAGCTGGAGAGGCTGATGTGCTCATGAGGGCAACCTCTGGTCAAGTCTGGTCCCGAGAGCAAACCATCCTGGAACTTGGGTCACAATCAGCAGCAAGAGGGCCCTAAAAGGAAGGAAGCAGAGAGTGGTGAAGAAGGCTTAACGATAAATTCTAAGGGAATGATTTCAGCACCTGTCAAAATCAAGATCCTAATTCCAGGCTGTGGGGATAAGACAGACTTTCAAGTTATTTTCTGCAGTAAACGGCTCTTTGGTTGCTTTGGTTAATTATCTCTGGGATGCTACGGTCATTTCCACAAGGAAAGAAATGTCAGTGCAGTCAACCTGAAGATTAGTTGCATCATGTGCCAGAAAGCCACCGACTCGGCTAGTAAAATCACTATTTGTGCTCAACAGTGAGAATAGACACAAGTAGTGCCACAGACACAAGAACGTAAAATAGATGTGATAAAAAAGTTTTTTTAAAGCACAGCTTGATACAAAAGACATACACATTTAGAGGAGACTCCAACACAAGGGCACAGTAAAAACTTGTTGAGATTCTGCCTAGTAATTTCTGAAACTATTTTCTTCTCCCTTGTCCCAAACAAGGAAAGGAATAGACAGGCTTCCCTGCACTGACTTTGTTAATGCTTCCATTCATATACTTTTTAGTCTTTTAAAAAATGAGCTTTTTTGTTTTAATAATTTCACAGATATAAAAATCACGTCATACATTTCAATAGTTCAGTCACGTTCATAAAATTTGGGCAACCATCTTCACAATCAATTCCAGGATCTTTCTTCCTCCTTGTAGTCATTGTTGTTAGCTCCCCGTTTCCTGCCAGCCTCCGCTGTCATGCCCCTTTGAATTTACTGATCCAGTGTTGCCTCTATAGGCTTACCTAATCTATTAAAAATTTTTTCATGCAATTATACTTAAAATGCATATTAATTTAATCCTGCTGTTCTATTTTATCTTCACAGACCTATCATGGAAATCAATAAGAAAAAAAAGATTTTCTATATGCTAGTGAATTTGAGGGAGGCCCTCGATGAGATGGATTGACAAGTGGCTGCATCAGTGGGCTCAGACATGGGAACAATTGGGAGGATGCCCCAGGACTGTGCAGTGTTTTGTTCTGTTGTGCATGGGGTTGCTGTGGGCAGGAGCTGACTCGAGGGCACTTAATAACAAAAAAGTGATTTTGAAAGCCCAGTCAACATTTGGGTGGGAAGAATACATTGTAAGGAAGACCCACAAGCAGTTTTCCACGAGGAACAAAGGAGGCTGGCAGAGATACAGATGGGAGAGACAACTCTCCTCATTCTGGTCCAGAAAGAAATGCTGTGTAGCATGAGGAGTCAGAGCAAGGACTGGGGTCAGGCACACCTCAGTGTGAATTCAGCTATGCTACTCACTTGCTGGGAAGACAATTCACCTCTCCACCTCATGAATTCCTCATCTCCGAAATGCAGATAATGACAGTACCAATTTCTTAGGGTTACTGTGAAGGCTGAATGTGTCAGAGAGTACAATAATGAAGAGTAAAAATGCCATTAAGATATAGTCATGAAAAAAAAAAAGATATAGTCATGTCCAAAATGGGTGCACAAGCAAATGTGATGAAAGCTGATGGTGCCCGGCTATCAAAAGATATAGTGTCTGGGGTCTTAAAAACTTGAAGATAAACAAGTGGCCATCTAGCTCGGAAGCAACAAAGCCCACATGGAAGAAGCACACCAGCCTGTGTGATCATGAGGTGTCGACAGGATCAGGTAACAGGAACCAGAAGACAATAAACAAACATATTGTTCAGAACAAGGGGGTTCAGAGCAGGGACCCAAAACTGATCTGTAGACAATGAGACATCCCCTCACAGAAGGGTTGCAAGGAAGGGATGAGTCAACCAGGGTGAAGTATAGCACTGAAGAAACACACAATATTCCTCTGATTCCTTGAGGCTTCCTTACCCCCCCTATCATGACCCCAATCCTGCCTTTCACTGTGAACTAGGCCAGAGCATGTACACAGGTACAGATAAGAGCCAGGACACATGGAATCCAGGTCAGATAACTCCCTCAGGATCAGAAATGGGAGTAGCAATACCAGGAGGGTAGGGGGGCGGTGGGGAAGAAACCTCGGGGGAAGGGAGACAATGGTTGGTATAAAATATGAAAATATGAAAATAATAATTTGTAATTTATCAAGGGGCCGCGAAGGGGGGAGGGAGGATAAAAAGAGGAGCTGATACCAAATAGAATGTAAATGTTTAGAAAATAATGATGGCAACATATGCACAAATATGCTTGATAAAATTGATGTATGGATTGTTATAAGAGCTGTAAAAGCCCCCAATAAAATGATTTTTAATAATAATAAGAAATTCAACTAACATTTTAGGAGTAAGAAGGCCTTAATGCAACAAATGTACAAATGTGTTTGACACAATGGATGCACGTATGGATTGTGATAAGAAATGTACGAGCCTCCAATAAAATGATTAAAAAAAAGAAGGCCTTAATGACCTTGAAGAAATAAGACTCATACCCAAACAGAGAAGTAAAATACAGAGTCCATATAAAACCAGGAAGCCAGTGGACAACTGAATGGTGTCTGTAGTAGAGAAAATCAACCGAGGGCCGTGGAAGCACAGATTTGCACACACTGGGGAGAAATCCATGCAAACAGCGTGTGCATTTTCACTCCCCAGGCTCATACATCAGAGTCTACTAAGGTTTTAATGTCTGTGTTCTCCTGGTCCTGGGTGCACAGTAAGTCCCCATTTCACAGCCCACCTTTTCAGATGGGCTTCAAGTACTGAGGGCTTGGAAGGAAACTGAGTGAAGCGACGGGTGTCCCTTCTGGACCAACGCCATGCTGAGCAGGTCTGCTTCTTCACTTTCTCTCTTCCCTCTGCCTCCTGACTGGAGAGCCTGTGTGGATGCAGAGGAGGGCAGGGCCACTGGTCGGTCCTTGCGTGACTGCGTGGAACTGAGAGGTTCTTTCAAGCCAGAGGGGACTGTGCTGTGATCAGTAAATGACCATTGTATTTAATCACTAATTTGGGGGGTGATTTATTACATCAGTTAGTCCACCCTATGTAATGCAGTTGTGTTGGGTACCAAACTTCTTGCTACAGTATGACAGGTTATACTGTATGATAGAAAGCCATGGATGTAGAGATACAAGCCTTATTTCAGCAATCTCACTGTATATCACCAGTGGCTACCATACTGACCAGGGCAGCTCTAGACAAACTTGGATCACTGACCAGCTCAACTCTTGCACAACTCAAACCTTTGCTCATGCAACTCCCTCTTCCTAGAACATTTTTCTTCCCCCACTTCTTCTGCTCCTTCACAGAGCTAGCTGTCTCATTCGTCAGTGATAATCCCCTTATGGGGCCTTGTCCCTGACCCATGTAAAGTAGGAGGCACTGAATAAGTACTCACGTGTTTTGTGAATGGGAGTTCAAATTAGTGCAATCTCTGTGAAAAAGATGGAGGGAGCTGCAAAAAATTGGTGGACAGTGGAATTTAAAGATAACAGTATTGTCTCATGGACTTTTTGAAGTCCCCTTGATCAACCCAAACTACTGGCAACCCAGATATTTCATGTCTGGAATTCTTGGCTATATGTTATCTGGTGTAATACATGATTTCCACTAATATTTGTAAAGGGAAATATTGCTAAGTGCTGATCAGTTGAGGGCAGGTCAAATCAATCGTGCCTCTAAGCCAGTGTTTCCCACAGTGGGTGATACTGTACTTGATGGGGCGGGTGGTGGGGGTGGGTGGTGGGGGTGGGTGGTGGGGGTGGTGGGGGTGTTTTCTGGAATGATCCAGGGGCCTGTAAAAGCAGATCCCTACATTTCATCCTGGATTATGGCCTCTAGCACAGCAGTTTTTAATTGTCAGGGTGCCACTGAGTAATTTTTTTTTTTCTGAAAAAGGGGCTGTAAGCCAAATAAGTTTGGGAGTGGTAAACAATAGAATACTACATAGCTGCTTAAAATGAATGAATTTTTATATGCAGATAGAGAAAGATTGTAAAGATGTATTTCCCATTAAAGCTGTCAGTATATCCAATATATTACCGTTTTTAAAAGGAAGGAGATAGCCGCATGTGTATATGTATGTAGACAATCTCTGGAAGACTGGGTAGGCATTGGAAATTTCAATTGCTGCCCGAGAGCAAAACTAGCTGGATTAGAGGCTGAGGTCAGACTGAAATTTTTTACTCCATGTTTTAACTTAAAGATGCTGTCTTCAAGGAAATGAATTTTAATATACTTAACATAAAATCATTGTCCTGCCACCACTATTATCCACACAAAAGTCGCTTATTTGGTTATTCCTTTGCTCATGCTTTGGTTGGCTTCTGCCACTAGAACCTACTCACGGGGACAATGAGCTTGCCTGTCTGTCTGTCTAGTCATCGTGGTAGCATTCCAGACTCACTGCCATCGAATCAGTGCTGACTCCTACTGACCCTACAGGACAGGGTAGAACGACGTCGTGCGTTTCTGAGACTACAGCCCTGGAGGGGAGTAGAAAGCCCCTTCTTTTCCCAGCAGAGCAGCTGGTGGTTTCGAATTGCTGACTTTGCAGGTACCAGCCCAGAGCATAATCACTGCGCCACCAGAGTTTCTGTTGTAGCGCTAGCACTTCCTATTGTTGAGTTAAACAAACCAGTGGGGGCACACCCTTTTAAACTCACCTAGGGAGACGCATCGATGACTACAATGCCCTACCAATCCAGTGGTTCCCGTTTCATTTTCCAGAGGCTTGCAAAGAGTCCTATGCTCGCAGAGCCAGGATCAGGATTTCTGTATAAAAGAGGCTTGTGTATTCTAGGTAGGCAGAAGAGGGAGAGGGACTCTTTGGAAGTAATGCTTTCAAAGCAAGCACGATGATTTTCCCAAGAGTTCATGATTAATCTAGGGCAGTCGAGGTAAAGGAAGGTGGATCCAAGCCATCCCCTGGTCGGGGAATGAAACCTGCTCTTCCAGCCCCATGTCAGGGCCTGCTCTGCCCTTTGACTTTGTGCCACCGCACAGAACACACCCCAGGTTTGTGGTTCTCTCCCACGAAGGCAGGTGGAACAGAGACCACAGCACC